TAAAAAATTCTTTATACTAGTTTACCATAGAGTTTCGTTATTTAAATTTTGATGCAAAAACAATTATGTTGTAAAATGTAGATGCTGTTGATAAGTGATTCTGCATTTGCTCTATCAAATCTTAACTTGATTTTTTAGGGAAAAAAGCACCATTTTAATTCAAAACTTTATGAACTAACTTTTATTTAATTTGAGAAGGATTGCAGATTTTTTTAATATAAGTGAGCATAAATGAGAAATCGAATTTTCGACAATGGCTTTTTCAAAAATCAAAAATCATCTTTTAATCTAAAAAAGGATCTTTTTTGTGTTGAATTTGTGATAATACAAAATATTTGTATTATCTGTTTGTATGTACATTAGTTTCTAATTGATATCAGATAGAAAGAGAGAGAAACGATGTAAGATTAAAAACTAATTTCGATATTTGTATGTTTTGATAGAAAAATCGTGTTTTTCCTAAATGGTTGGAAATGTTCCAGGATAACTGTATGAAAACAACACGAGATAATCTGGAGAAATAATAAAGCGTTACAAATCTATTTATCTCAGTATCTTCTTCGAATCATTTCTTATTCAAAAAACAAGTCTTTTCAATTTAATATTATCTAAAAATGTCTTTGGTTGTGCGACGTACTATCCTTGCTTATCATTTCGCCTATATTTATCGTATATATTTATAACCACAAATTAACTTATTTTTTATTTATATTTGATTAAAATATATCTATGTTTTATTTAATAATATTCTTTCAATCACATTTTTTACAAAATAATGAAGAGGCAAAAATGATGTTCATACATTTCCACACAGTAAGTGTTTAATAAGTATGCTTATACCAAAGTTTGAATTCTTCTCTTATAGTGAAATAATTTTCTACAATAGAAATAAATTACATTTGAAAATTAAGAGATCCACTGCGAATTACAAGCATTTATTCATTTATATTGTTATGGAATTTATGTAAATGGAATTTTTATCGTATCGATCTTATCTCTATAATTCGTAGAAATTGTCATATTAAAATTTACTTGCTGTCTTCTGATTTATTATTATATTACTTATTAAAAAATATACAATTTATCTATTTGTACCACAATTATTTTTCCAACGTGCATTTAAAAAGATTAAAATAATGGAAACACTTTGAGGTTCAATGGGCTCAAATCATGTGACGTCATAGTCACATGATAATGATTGCCACGTGATTCTAGCCAATCAATTAAAAAGCTCCGTCACACGAAAAAAGCTATCTTTTGTTTCCAGCTAATCAGTTCACACGCTTCGTTGTTTCCAACGTTTGCTCTTTGCAGAAACTTTCTCTTAAAAAGTACATATGTATACAACATGCACTTTATTTAAAAGTAAATGCATAAAATAAGATTTTTTTCCTAATTTAAAAAAAAAAATTTGAAGAAATTTTTTTATAACTTTTAAACATATTTATCCAATAATGAAATTTGAAATTTTATCCAAGTTTTGCAAAAATAGAACAACAAGTACGATTAGTTGATGTCTGTTTTTAACTCAATGGAGATCACGTGTATGTCTTTATCAAGTGAGTGTCATGAATTGAGCCCTTTAGCTAAATACATGGGACGTGATAGTTACATGATTAATGCAATCACTTGTTTCCAATTAATACAGTTTATGCACATCACTGTTGCCAACTTTTATTTTTTATACAGATACATAAATTTTTTTAAAAAAAATACGTATTTGTTATCAACATACACATACATAGGTAAAAATATGCGTTTGATTTAAGACACCGAACACCGAAGTAATTTAAGAATTTTAATTTTGAAAAACGTTTTTAAGAATTTTAAAACCTTCCGTATTTACTCGAATCTAAGCTACCATCGATTCTAAACTGTACCCCTAATTCTAAGCGCGTGTTTAAGAAAAAACTCTAAAAAATATGTAAAAGTTTCATCAATTTCAGATACTTCAGAAATTAAAAAATTTTACTAGAAATAATAAGTTTTATAATAATTAATTTATTTTACCAATATTAAAAATTTTCAAATACATATATGAATCTATAATTACTCTAACCGTCAGTGCAGTACCGCAAGCAGGAATTTTTCAAGGGGGGTCCGGGGTCGAAAGTTCACCATTCTTGTATCATGATCCTTTTGATTTTGTCGATTTTCGGGAACAAAGCACAGTAAAAAACTAATTATTGAATAAATAATTAGCATTAATTAATAAAATTAATCATTAATAACAAGTAATTAATTAAATTTTACGTACTTTATACTTAGAATTATAATCAATCGGAAAAAAATCAAGGGCCTTGGGTGGGTCCAGACCCCAGGACCCCCCTTGTGTGCGCCACTCCGTCAGTATCATGTTTCGAAAATGATTTGTCTCTCTCATTATCACAGCTGACTTCGGAACTGGTGCTGGCTTCGCCATTTATTCACAATATGTCGTCTTCTGTGCTATCCAGTGCATTTGTTACGCAACATTCTTTTAAAAGAGTGTATTATAGAAGAATGTAAAAGAATTATTAAAGAGTGTGTTAAACAATTACAAGCAAAAATTGGTATGATTACGCCATCGACGTATATTTGTTTGGTCCGTGTCAAATTTTCGATAGCCACTGCTCTGTTTCCATTTTTTTCACCATATAAAATTGCCTCCCTTTTCATACTTGCGTCATAAAGAACTCGTCTTGAAGCTATTACCGATATATCTTTGATGTTTAGATGATTAAAAGAAAGTGTATATACAAAAAAGGTTCCTAAATACGAGCAGACAACGCTATTTAGAATAGACTGAATACTTGAGATAAACTCTGGGATGGGATAAATCATCGATGCAAGTGGCTGGAATGGACGGTTACATATTTTTCTTTTGAAAGGAGTGTAAATTAAATTTCTCCCATCCATTAAATGCCTTGCCTTCGATTCCAAGCCACACCCAATTTTCATTTGCATTAACACTGGAAAAAAGTGCGACTTAGATTCGAGTTAATGCGGTTACTTGTCAGATTTAGTTGTTATCTATTAAGCGTTGTTTCATTCTATATCTACTCACGAACGCCTTAGCATTTTTTGAGGCCTTGGGTCCCTTCCTCAAAAGTAAGCCCTGTGCCTTATGCAAATGTATCCCAACCCCATACGACCCTTAAAAGCAGACAGTACATTGCATACGTTGTCAAATATCCATACAAACAATAACTCGAAACAAATGTGCATGACTTACAATCGCACAAACCGGCTCAACAGACTGCCACCCTTTGACTGAGGGATTAATGAAGGTGTATGGTGGTAGACCTAGACCTATTCATGAACGACGATCATCACATGTAGCCAGTTGCCATATCGTCAGAAATTCCCTTTATTTTGGAATGAGTGAATATTAACATCGCACTGTTCAGCTACACGAGAGCTTTGGGCGACGGACCACGTAATTTTGAACCATGGTCAAGTGACGTAGACGGCACCTGAGCTGGCACCCCCCGTCTCCTAACTACCACTCCACACCAACGGGAGGACGTTTCAGCTCTCGACAGATTTAACGTGCATCGCTGCCCACATGGCGGGTCTTTAGTGGTACTGAGCTCGAACTCATGACATGCCTGCCATGATCCGATACCTTAACACTAGTTACCGCAGCCCTCCCTTTTTTTTCGGAGAATGTAACAGGAAAAAATACTTGACCGTTGAAATTATTCGAATCATTATCATAATAAGGCCGTGACGAGAACCAGACGAGGCCTCCCATTGAGTCCAAGACCCTGGGCCCGGGCCCATTTGTCCCATGTGTTAAGACGTCCCTGTATCTACTATAGTCAGTATGAACTACCATATGTCGGTTTTATGACAAACTCTGGTGTAAATCTCACATAATTTTTGTTATATTTTCACTTCATTTTAGAAAAAATGATGGATGTTATTTTTTACAACATTCATTGTAATTGCCATAAAATTCTTTACCCATCCTCAAATCTCAACTCAATTTTGTTCGTATCTTGGAACGAAACTCAAAATTTTAAGTCTGGAGCAAATGAAATTGTGTAAACATCCCCTCTGCGAGCCCGTATCGATTACAAGTGTTGAATTCTCATTAAGAGTAATGGCAAGGTCGAACTCTGTCAAACGAGGAAGTACCAATGGTCCTCTAACGAAGTTTTCTTTGTTCAATGACCGCCAGGCGTCGCTCTTTCCCTGATGCTTCTCAACGAGAGGAAGTTTGGGTCACTTAATGGGTCCTACAGGGAAAAAAAAGCCAGCTGTCATGATTTGATATGAAATGTGAGTTGGAAATCTTTTATTTATTTACGGCTTTATTTATTTGGGTGCAATACGACGCAGTCGGCAAGCCAGAGGAGGCTCAATGTCATGATTTCTATTCATTTTTTTTCTTTTATTTTGAAATCGATATCTCGTTTTCTTTCTCTTTCCTTTCTGTCATTGTGGATTTATTTATTCTTTTAAACTGATCTTCACTTTCTTGTCGAATATGAAATTGTTAAGCGTGATTTTTTTTCTTCTTTTAACGTAATGAAAACTTGTATGCTGTTTCGAAATAGAGAAACTGATGTAAACTTTTTGAGCATGCGATAAAATGCATACCAAGAAAAGGATTATTTACAGTTCTTTTGTTTTAAGCATAGGAAACACTTATTCATCGTTTTGCGTTTCGAATTTGTGATAGAAGTCTAAAAATTTACTCTATAATTCAAAACTCTTTTGTTTTTTTTCTCCACATTCTTTATTTTTCAATTCCTTCTATTAGTTCACACTCTCCCTATATTTACTTATTTATTTATTTGAATATCTTGTTCACATTTTCTATCGTTAATAAAATATTTTTAATTCATCCACTCAAGTTGAAATACATTTTTTAAAACTTGTAGTAAATGACACTATATGTTAACACATTTTTTCAAATATTAATTTATTAATTAAATTTAATAAATGAAAAAATATCAACAAACAAAAATAATAGTCCAACACCATATATAAAAAGGAAAACCGTTCGTTGTGTCCCTGTAACGCAATGGATAGCGCATTGCACTTCTAATTCAAAGATCGTGGGTTCGTTTCCCACCTGGGATGGCCTAATTTCTGAGAATATGACTTATTTTTACTATACTATTTTATTGAAATAATTTAATTTAATTAATGAATAAATAGTAATAAACAAAAAATAATAGTCAAATATTGTATATAGAAAGGAAAATGGAAAATTGCAAGGATTCTATTTTGCTCCTTAATATTGTGATTCTGTCCTATGTATATACATATTTATATTAATTGTAATTATTTAATAAAAACTAAAATAAAAATTTTCTTTGTTGACCTAAGTAGGAATTGACTTAAATTTTTTTTCATTGTTCTGTGTTTTTTTAACTCGGCTAAAAAGCAAAACAGAAGAAAATTAATCTCAGACTCCATTTTGTAAAATAAGATAAAAAATTAAATTTCTCCCAAATTTTTTTCAAATTATTACATTTTAAGGAATTATAATGTGACTTTAAGGTCTCTGAAGTATTAATATTTATTAAATATTAAAACACACACACAGAGAGAAATCGCATATACTTCGAAATATAAAATTAGCTGTGATTTGAAAGATAGCTATTCTCACACATATGTAAATAATCAGCTATTCTTTATGTTAGTAATCAGTAGCAAAACGGAAGATCAAGCAAAAATAATTAACAAAAACTATAAAAACAACAATCAGTAATATTTTTTTGAAAAGTAAAGCTAGCTTCTCTTTAAGTCTTCCTGCGTGTGAGGTGGTTTAATTTTCCCACCATTTCCACTTCGCATAAGCATGGTAAAAAAGAAAAATGAAAATAAAGATGTAAATATTGATAGAAAACAATATAGAAATAATCATTGTTATGCCTCACTCAGATTTTGAAGAAGTAAGAAAACAGATCAAAAATATTTTTCCGGTATTTTCTCGATTGTGGCTAAAAAACTGTTACAAACAAAATGTTTCGTAAGTTAGTGGGCGGTGGAGATACGCATACTTTGTATTAAATGGATTTGAGCTTAACAACCCTTAAAATAACATAATTTGAAACAAGTGATATATAAAAAAAATTAAGTCAATTCTTTTTTTAGGTCAACAAAGGAAAAATTTATTTTAATTATTTTTTATTAAATGTTTACAATTAATATAAATATTATATATATATGACTGAATCACACTTTTAAGTGGCAAAATAGAAAGCGATTTTCCATTTTCCTTTCCATATAGACTGTCATTCTTATTTGCTACTATTTATTCATTCATTAAATTTTAATTATTACAATTAAGTAGTATAGTAAAAAGAAATCACATTCTCAGAAATTAGGCCTTCCCTGTTGGGATTCGAACCAACTACCTTTGGATCAGTAATCCAACGCGCTAGCCCTTACGCTGCAGGGACACAGCGAACAGTTTTCCTTTATATATATGCTGTGGGACTATCATTTTTGTTATTTATTCTTTTTAAAATTAAGTTAATGAATAATTATTTGAAAAAACTGTATTAACATCAAATGTCATCCACTACAAGTTAAAAAAAATATGTATTTGAACTTGAATGGATGAATAGAAAGTATTTTAGTAACGATTGAAAATATGAACAAGATGTATATATATATATATATATATATATATATATATATATATATATATATATATATATATATATATATATATATATTTAAATATATAAAAACAATCACAATTATCAATTTAAAAATTGAAATATATGAATCCCAAAATACCAAAACACTTCAGAATATCAATGGCGAATATAATATATATATATGAAATAATTCTCTCGTATCCTTTTAATTAACTCTTTTTAAATAATCTTTAAATAAGCTTTTAATTCTTTCGTTCAAAACTAACGCACTAATCTTAATCGTAATCGAATAGGAACATTGCATCAGAAATTATCGTTTTCGCCCTTTCTAACCAATCATATCTTTTGTTACAAAGGAGTCACGCGATCTTCACTGCCGGTATAAAAGGGAAAGTCTTTTGTGATCATTTCTTTTTATCTCCGTCTCGTCGTCTTGAATATGTGTAAATAACTACAGCTCTTTGTCTCTTTGAATTTGCTATGTGATCATCGCCGCTTTTTGTGTTTTATCTGTGTGTGTGCGTCCCATTCTCTTAATTATTCCAAATGTGGTTAAACATATGTCTGTGTACTGTTGAAATATCCTACTAAGTCAAGTAAATAAGAGTAAAAAATATCCTGTCTCCTCAAGTATGTCACGATTACACTGAAATGATATTTAGTAATCAAGGAAAAATCTACGCGGCATAGGGTATTTCATATTTATATAGGGAGAGAGTGAACTTATAGTAGGAATTGAAAAAAGGTTTTTTGGTGTGTGGTTCAAGTCTCTTTGTGGAACTGCACTTCAAATTTGGATTTATGAAACAGTACTCTGAAATTACATGGAATAACACTGGTAGAAAAATAAGTTTTAAACACGGGTTTTCTTTCGAACTTCACACTTTGTGTGCATCTTAAACTTTAAGAGCGAAAGGTAATGTTGAGTCAAATTGAATTTATTCAATAAATAATTTTAAGAGTTTAATTTTACGAAGGAGTAGTTTAATTGGCTGGTTTCAATATTCAACTATTTTGCGTTCTAAACAATTGGAATTATGAGTGGAATTTAATTTTTTCATTAATTAGATATAATCAATTAACTTTTATTAATTGTAATTAACTTATCGTATTGTCATCCAAAACAATCATATATATAGAAAATTTCAGCTCGATTGAGTGCTTTAAAATGTGAAAAAAAAAAGAGTTTTAAAGTTTTGACTCATATCTTCAAATTTGGTCACCAAAAATGATGCCATCATGGCTGTAACTGTAATTCTTTAAATGATTAGCTTCAATCAATTAATTTTTATTAATTGATTAAAGCTTTATTGATTTATTTAAAGCGTCATTAAATTATCATATTATCATCCTAAACAATCGTATCATGTATAGAAAATTCCAGCTCAATTGAGAGCTTTAAAGAGAAAAAAGGGTTTAAAGTTTTGACCCAGGCATACTTACAACGTGTGTAGAAAAGTCTGTATCGAAGTTTTGGGTGAGCTCAGACTCCTTGGACATTCCGCCAATGACACTTGCGTTTTTGTAGAGCAGTGGTTCCCAAAGTGGTCCCTACGGAACCCCAGGGGTCCCCGATATTATTCACGGGGTCCATGGAAAATTAAAATTTATTTGGGGGTCCCTGAACAACGTCACTGGATCTGCGCAAAGTTTAATATAAAATAAAAAATTTTTGATCCATTTTTATTTTTATGGAAATTTAAATAAATAACAATAATTCATTTGGATATTTCCGACTGGGTGTTGAGCCCTTTGGCACGTAGACCAACTCAGAACCCAAACTCAGATGAATTTATATTAATACAGGAATATCTTATTGAAATATCCACACACGAGAGACTAAAACCGATGTTTGAACAAGGATACCACACATTCTGGTTGCAAAAACAGATCCCAATTTTATATCCTTCATTATATGGGTACAGAAGTTGTTGACTACTTACCCGTCTTCCAATTAAGTAGAACATGTATTCAGTGCCGTAAAAAGCATCACCACACAAAAAAAATTGACTAAAAACTAGAGCTTGTGACGATTTGCGGTTGCTACTCACAAACATTGAGAGGGACATATAAATACAGTCATAACATCTCATCAAGTTCATCCAAGTTCTAAATTTTTTAATTTTATATATATTTTAAACAAAATTTATATGATTTTAATACATAATTCTTCATCAAAATGTTTTTATTTTTTTTAATTTGTAATTTTTATACTATGCATTTATGTAGCTTTTTTCCTTGGAGTTCCGGGGGCAAGTTTTGACTATAAAAAGGGGTCCATGAGTTACAAAAGTTTAGGAACTATTGTTGTAGAGTAGTTTTTTTAAAAGAAAGTAGATCATATTAAAATAAACCTAAGGCTCGTTTTTGTTTATAAATTTTTTCTAATTATTTTTTTCAAAATTATATTTCAACATAATATAATGCAAACTGATATTAGAATCCGAATTAAAGTATCATGTGCAATTTAATCAAAACTCATCTAATACTATTGTTCTATTTAAACAGAGTTTAGAAAGAGAACATCTTTTTACAATCTTCTTTAAATCTATTAGCGTAAAAAAAAACAACTATTCTTGTAACAGTTGAATCTTTCAGTCACGTCTCTCTCTCTCTCTCTTGGGTGCACAGCTGCATCCTTTTCCTCTTTTGTTTTAAGCCTTGGTAACCTGAGCCCATCTTTACACTCGACCTGTTTATTTTATTAAACGTGGTGAACTTTAACTGTGGCTGTAAGGGTTCTTTGACGATGATTTGTTGTTTTAAATCAAAAGATTTTTTACTTTGTGATTCAATTAAAATAAGAGTCATTTTTCAATTCCTACTATTAGTTCATACCAGGGGTGTAGCTACCACCGTATCAATGATACGGGGCCCCCAAACTACAGTGGCTCCATCATGTGTAACTACAGTTCCGCTAACAGGGCTTTCATATCTAAAATAGGGCCCCGAAGGAATTTTAATACAGAGTCCATTTAGAACTAGCTACGCCAGTTCTATTTTATTAAGGATTTTGCAATCGTTAAAAAATACTTTTTATTCATCGGTTCAAGTTCAAAAATACGTTTTTTTAAACTTGCGGTGGATGACACTCAATTTTAATACAGTTTTCTTCAAATATTAATTCATTAATTAAATTTTATTTTTTTATTTTGAATTTATTCTGTGTTATTTCTGGTGAAGTTACAACTAGCTGCAACAGATTGTACCACCAAAGTAGGGATTGACTTACCGTAAAATCCGGCGTATAACGCGCACCCATACTTTCAAGCTGCATTTTTTAATTTTTAGGTATATTCGCCGTATAACGCGCACCCATACTTTCAAGCTGCATTTTTTAATTTTTAGGTATATTCGCCGTATAACGCGCACCCATACTTTCAAGCTGTATTTTTTAATTTTTAGGTATATTCGCCGTATAACGCGCACCCATACTTTCAAGTTGCATTTTTTAATTTTTAGGTATAT